ACCTCTATACAACGAAAGTAGACTGCGACCACACAAAAGGCCACACCATCTTGGTCTTCATACCTTCGAACTAATATAATTTAGCCTGATTAAGATTAACGCCCGCCTGTTAAGGCACATGAAAACCATCTCCTCACCCCATCCGTCCGATTAAATGCATATCCTCGCACCTTGATATGGAAAAATTGTATTAATCGAGTTTTCATCACATTTTAGAAACACATTTACATGAGAATGCTCCTAAGTAGCTACACCTCAACAAGTCTGGTACATACGAAGTAAAACTTGGTTTCGATTAATCTTCTGAGATAACATTATAAGGGGGACTTTCATTTCGTAGGAAAGTACATGAAGAAGAGATTCGTTGGTCGATCTCACCAGATAAGACAGTTTGACTTTTTACAAGAATGACACCCAGCTTTGATGATATCCATCATATGATGAACGAAAGCTCAGCATGTTTTCACTCGAAACAAGGAAGGAAGTCTCGTGGACGGCGTCAACATGAATATCGTATACAAAGCAAACGGTTGCAGTACGAGGTTCATTCGTCCTCATCTGGTGAGATCGATCAACGAATCTCTTCTTCATGCACCTTCATACGAATTAAAGGTCCCTCTTACAAGTCTGGTACGGTATGGCAGTACGAAAAGTGGCTGAAAAACTCTAGATCAGGCCATCGCATCGCTTGTGCGGATAGGCTTGTACTTATTGCTATATTTAGGCTCAACCTAATGCCTCCCGGTATGGAGGTAATTGAAAAATAAACTCGAGGCATGTATTATTAGCACCCACTCCACCTTCGTACTGATTACATGACATTAAATATGTGAGCTTGGTTTGTAACAATTCTTGGTGCGATTAACAAGGGGTTAAATCAATTCATTTTCTATTTCTCTTTGCCCCGTTCTTGTTTCGCTTAATATTTTCCTGTATTACAGGTCAGATGAAAGGTTTTGCCACCTAATTTATATATTTTATTCTCATTTATTACCGGAATGTAATGCTTTATGCCCAGGTTGAATTCCATCCGCACTGTATTCGAGAGGAAAGCTATAACCTGTTTGCATAAAATGCCACCATCCTTGGTGCTCTTTTCTCTTGAATACATAGCCAATTATTTTGCGTGTTTTTAGTTGCTTTAAGGTGCCTTAAAAACCAGACCCTAACTGTGATAAATAAGTGCAGTAGTTACCTCTCTTGAAATCTCTCTTGAGGGGAGATTAACTTTGTGGTATCAATCATCTCTTAATTTTTAGAATTCATTCGCTCTAGAACAGCGACCGAATGATTATAGTCAAAATTAATGCCACACATGGCAGCTTTTTGGCCAATTGAACAGGAATAATCATGATATGCCATCACGTGACGTTATTATTTTATCCTTATCTAATTTCATATAAATTCATAATTCGGGGTACAGTATGTGCGTGATATGGAGGTATGACTAGTAATTGTGGTGATAAGAGTGTCTTCGAATCTCGACTTCCTACAGTCCATGTATTCTTCTAAAATATTCCACGCTAATCATTAGTATTTCATTGTTGTAAAGGAATAAAAATCATAATCTGGCCTATAGAACTACTCACATACAAGTAGCATCATCACTTGAAGGGGCGTGTTCGACAGCGAGGGAATGTATCCGAGATGTCTTCACTTTTCACCTCTCCATTGGCTTGGTGATGCATGTCAGGCTTGTATGTGAACCCGCTTTTGAGAAAAATGGCAAAATATCTCTTTATTATATTGTGGGCAGATCAACCATCCATGCTCGAATCCACGACCCGCCACTGGTCGGTGGAGATCATTCTTACAAAAACTTCTAGTTACTACTAAGTTAAGTGCTAACTGGCTATACGTAGCCATAGCAAGGACAAAAAGACCTCTAACTCCTTGCATTTTGGTATATATATGTGTGTATATGTGTCCTCTTATCCTCTAAGATTTTTATGACATTCACAATACTATGCTAATGAGTCTAGAATTTTATTCGCCTGGGTACGAATTTTACTCTTTGAAAATACAATCATCCGAAGGATCTCTTTCGATGGAGGATAGAGTAAAATTTCCATATAGCCTTTTACTATTTATAGAAGCGAATAGGCTTGAAAACTTCCAAACAGAAATAGCCGGAACGGCGAATAAAGTCGAAAGTCTGAGTGTAAAGTTTCCTAGTTCTGAAATTCGGTGAGTAAAGTAGATGGTCAAATAAGAAATGGAGTGCAAAGTTGCAACGCGGTGTGAAGGTCAAGATGGTATAGCTCTTGTGTCGTCTCACTTTTATTTAATTTTATATGCTTGAGCTAACTTTGCCTTAGCAACGCTATCATACTCAACTGGCAATCGGATCGTTGAAAGGCTAAATTCAGATTGATTTCGCCTGCAGTTTAATCGGCATCAAAATGGTCAAGAAATTTTCGTTCCTAAGCATGGTTTCGAGACTACCGGTAAATCAGCTATATGAGATGTATTAACCCAATTTCGTTAAAGGTGATGAAGGACAGGTAGTTGAATTATCCCACAATGATATGAGTAAAGCTAACGTTTCCATTGAATTTCACATAGCCTTGCTTTCCTAAAATGTATTCTCATCCAGGTTATACTGCAGGTTCGACCTCGCCTAGGTCTTAACAACACCACTAGCGGTAGTGGCTAACCTGTTGAGATTAGATGCTGCGCTGTCATGGTTCGACTCCCGCTTGGGGTGTTGATAAGGCCTAGAGGTAGTTGAAACTACAGTCCGCTCTGGATGAGAGTACCTTTTGGGAAATCAAGGCTATGCGAAATTCAATGGAAACGTCTGCTCTACCCATATCATTACAGGAAGATTATTCTATAAGTCCTTCATCACTTTAAACGAAATAGAGTAAATAATTCTCATATAACGATCAAGTTACTTTACTAGTTGTACTTCATCTCGCCTCGCCAATCACACTGACTGCATTACCGGCAAAACGCTTTAAGAATATCTTGGTCGCCAGACCGATGAAGAAATTAGACTTGATTAATATGGCAATAGAGATGGCCAAAGTTTCCGATTTAGACAAAAGTAATAAAATCTCTTCTGGCGGTCAACCCTAAAGTTTTTGGTTAGTCGACATACAACTACTAATTTAACTTTGTTTGCTATTCATTTAGACTTTACACATTCAACCGTCACTTTGGGTGATGTAAGGCCAGATATTTGGGTTTCTCACAATTAAATGAGTCCAGGGCCTCACAATTCCGTTAAATTGGACCAAGGTATGCCCCTCTATACCCTTTCTTAAGCGAGTTTTTGTCCTCTTACTGTCGCATCGGTACACCCAAAGGGATTCGAAACAGGGTCAGGCGTATCCTGGCGATAACTTATCATGTAACTACGCGTCCAAATCAGATCTCTTCATTTTTTAACAGAACTACCGCTGAGACCAACTTATTTGCCATTACTATCGACCAAACTACTAACTTTTGTCATGAGTAGGCCTTGAAACTCTCATCAACACCCAAAATAAGTAATTGTGTAAGTTGTGCTAAAAAAATGCATGCTTGCTTTAGCCAATCCCTATGACCCAAATGCGCTCATGGTTGTGAAGTTGTGCGGCAACGTGTTGCCACAATACGCTCTACTTGTTTACGAATTTCACTGTATCTTGAGCTGTGAGTAAATTGCAAGTTTGTTGTTTTACCATACTCATCAAATTTCAAGTCAAGACATAGCTACTTTAAAGAAGGAGGTAGCCTCTGAACGTCTCAAGACAGGCCCTGAACAAGCCCGCCGAAAGTCGAAAGTCTCTCAAGATGACACCTGCAGAGCAGACAGCATCACACTGAACGAGGCGAAAGAGAAAGAGGCAACATCCGGTACCTCTGTCCGGTCAACTCATGGCTCAGCTTCGGGCATCGCTCTGTCAGCCTTCCCGTTGTCTCACAGCTTCCGTCTGCTGCCCGACATGATGATTTACACGTTAAGCCTAGAAACACCGCTGGCTATAGACCACGTTCTGCTGCAGTCTGATTGTCGATTGGACCTGGTCGACATGGAAACGAACTCAGCCATTGTCAGCTACAGCGAACTCGAGTCCGAGCAGGTAGGTCAGGCCAAACAAGTCTACATAGTTTGTTGTGAGGATCTTCATTTCATAGGAAAATGCAACATGAGAGGTTGGTAGGTCGGTCTCACTGAAAGACAAAAGCTGATTCCCTCTGTTCCACATTTGTTTGGCTTCAATATGAAAGCAGACTTAGTTTTCGTCTATAATGCCTCTTGAAAGGCACTAACAGAGCTGGAATTCATTCTTGCAATAGCTTCACGTTAACACTTCTTCAAGAATACTATCTGGCTCTATCCTACCTGAAATATATGCTCATAAGTAAAGACGAAAAAGAAAAATATATAGAATAAATTCGTATTAATCAAGGTACTGATAGTTGAGTTAGTATGTATGTTTCTGCGCTTGCGTGTGCGTATTACAATCTGTACTCATGTAAATCAGTATGTAATACCGTCTATACATAAGAATTATTACAAAAGAGCCTAACATCAGGCTCGTGCCATCAAGGCTTAATAACCCAAGCAAAATCATTACCAAGCTTGCGTGAGCCTTAAAGTAGCCCTGACTGAAATGTTGACGTGTA